CTAAGCTCATCTTGCGCAACCAATAGGAATCGAGTATTTATTTATAAGATCATGTTACCGTTATAGGGGGAAACATGCAAATCATCGGAATAATCTGATCAAGTCTATCCGTATATCTACGGCTATAAATGTCTAATAAAGATCCACGTGTTACAACATAAATCCAAAGCGACCAACACCGTCAAAAAGAGCGGCCCGGCTTGTCCGCCTCCCTGGAAAACTCCAAATACGTCGCTCAAATTCGATTCAGCCCGCTGTGCAAGCACATCAAGCACTCAAGAGTCATGAGGTAGGGGCGTCGCGCTGCCATGGCACCCTGATGCAGAACACTTCTGGAGGGAATCAGAATCTTTGCTTTTTGACTAATTCATCCTCATGTGGAGCTGTATTAGACTCTAGAGCTGGGAGAACTGGGCGTAGCTGGCGTCGGCGTGAACCCGACATTGAAACATCTGTTATTGATATTGAAGGCGCACGTGCTTGGATTTTGAAGCAGCTCCAGCAGCGCTTGGACTGGATTTGAGCATGTTGATAAGACGAAGGAAGAGTTGGTTTACAAGGTCAGACCTGTGGGATCACTACAGGAGCTGCGACTCCAATGAATATTGCTTGCTATTGCTTGCGCTGAACAAGCAGTGAAGTGTCAGGCGCTCTAAGGAAGGCTAAATTGCTCACCTACTCTTTGAATTAGGTTCTTATGAAAGACATGAGCTTGTTCATGATAACTGAGCCACTGTGGGGATCACTATGATCCGGGGTACAGGAAAGCGGGGGCAGACTGAGATTCTCCAGTCCGAGATAGAGTTGGGACCCTTGAGCAAGGACTTCCTTGAGCAAAGTGCCCTGCTTCCAAGGCAAACATTCAAGGAGCAACCTTCAGTTGAGACAACGCCAAATGCGCATCCCTTCCCAGCTCGTTTTTATACATACCTCTCAGTAGTTGGGCTACCTGTCGCCACCCTCATTGCAAGCTTCGCCTTCCTGGCCCTCATTTCAGACGGCAAAGTTTTGGAGTGTGTCCAAAATGTGGCTTCGAGAGCGCTCGAGAGGCCTCGTTATGTGAAGCGCGCCCCTCCACAACCGGGGGCCAGCTTTCTCGCCTGGGTGGTCACAGCCGCAGCTTGCAGCATTCTGGACGTATTCACACTAGCCCTCGACGCCTTCTTCCACCTCCAGAAGTATCCAATGGAAACGCGCCCTGTCTCAATGTTGTCGGTGGTTCATGAGATTCTTCTAGAGCGCCAGCTGGCAAAGTTGACCTACAAAACAATGACACCTGGCAGATTGCTTCTTTCCACAGTCTCTCTGGGAGCATCATGTATACTTCTGATCACTGCTACTTCCTTCGGTTACTGGGTTGGAGGAGGGAGCAAGACCGCTGTCGCTGCCCTTCTAGTAGCTTCTCTTACGCCCCTAGAAACTTCCAGCTCGTTGCTCGCATCAGCTTGCGCCAGCTCGTCACCTCTGCTACAGAAGCGATTCAGTCGTGGAGTTCTTCAGAGCTGCCTAGCTTTACTTCTGTTCATTATTGCAATCGGGATGGTCCATCTAGTTTCGGGGCCCTTGGTATGGGCGTTGGTAGACGGGCAAGGCTGGAGCTCGCTGCAAAACCTGGCGGTGAAAGTGGAGGTCGAGTGCGGTGCCGAGGAAGAGCCAAGTCAGACATATGACCTGCTTCAAGACGGGGTGATTCGATCAGGTGAGCCAGTTGACTTCTTCGTTGAAAGAGAGGGGTTTGCGAGGGAACCATGTCGCTTGTCTTGCATCTTTCAGAGATGATTGCAAGTTGCGGGATGGGTCAGCCAAGAAGCCATCCGTAAGCATGGACTCACACAGGCAGATTTTGCAACAGATGCCTCGTTTCGAAGTTAAGCCTTTTCACTCAAACGGACGAACTCTTACGTGGCGATTGTGAAGGGCACCGCTTTCCCTATCTCGGGTTTGACTTTCTGGCAAGAGTGATCAAGTGGGTCATTCCTAAAATTCCTGAACCCCGGCCACGGCCTGCTAGCTGGATAGAATGAGCCCAATATTTGGGGGTGTCGGGTGGTTCTCTGCTTCCTGAAGTAAAGTCGACTCCAGTTTCAAATTTGTGCTTTCAAGTTTTCAGTCTTTTCCGATTGAAGCTGGCAAGATAACCAAACACACCAGTCCGCCCTTCTGGTGATCGTTCTGGACGCACAAGAGCTCGACAGCTGTCCTTTGATCATCTTACAACTTTCAAATTTTGCGTGCAACTTTGTATCCACCCCTGCTTTGGAAGACGAGTTTCGCCGCGGTGAGCAGTAGATTCAAGTCGTCACTCTTTCAGCACCCTCCATCCAGAGGCCTGAACTGTCCTGCATATGTCATCTTCTTCTCCTTTCCGAACCCTGTTCCGTGCTTCGTTTTCAGGCCCCTCGCACGACAGCAACGCCACAGAGCGCACTCCTTTCGAAACCGCACGCACCCCGGCCATTTTGCGTCTCGCTGGAGACGTTTTCTATGTGAACGCAGTTGACTCTGCAGCGGACCTCGAGTTAGTTCCACAATGGACCGTTTACTCGGACGAGTTTTGGAACATCTTCCACGGCGGGGTGTCGCCCAATCTGCTCTCGTTTAAGGCTAGCTTCAGGCTGAGGAGGGGCGACCTGCTTGCGAGCATACACGTGCCTCAAGCACAGGAAGTCCACGTGGCGTTCGCTTATAAGACAGACGGGGCCTGGCAGAGCGCTGACGTCAGCCTGACGGGCGTCCACAGCAATTTACGCGTGCTGTGTCCGCAGGTCCTCATTGGAAGCCGGGAATATTCGACCCGGACTTTTCCTACGAATCTGCGTGAGTTGAGGAGGTTAGAAATGAGCGTCGCTATGTTGGGGACTTACTGCCCAGCAGAAAGGACTTAAAATTAGATCGAAAGCTGGTCCGTCTTCTTATCAAGCTGCTGCAACGTTGCTCCAGTCAGTAGACGCCACGTCCGTTAGCATATACGTCTCTCCGAATCAGTTAAATACTTGTCGCCGACTCGAATGGCCTTGGCAGCTGCCCTTTATAAGCTCGAGGATCTATGCGACCATTGCATGGCCGTATGAATAATATTGAATAGTGACCAGCGTGTCAATACAACGTGCCACGGTGGCCGCCGGTCCCTGCCTGAATCGGATTTGGACTGTCTTGGAGACAAGCTTCTGCTGCGCTAATGCGCGCGCAATGATCGGATATCAATGCATGGTACTAATCTATCTCGGTGCATGACTGTGCATAACGGTGACTCATGGCGCTAAGTAGAATGCATTGAATCCGCGCGGCCCCGCCCATGGGCGGCCGGCTCATGGGATATATGCATGCACGCGTGCGGCCATCAATAGGGCCGTACTTGGCAACACAGTTTGCTTTGGATTTCATCAATCAATGATACAGCATGCACTTGAACTGTTTGATCAACTTAAGCTACAACCGGTCGATCTGTCGGAAGCGGAGGCGGCATCATCTGAGTGCGTTACTCTCAGGTTGCAGAGGTTGCCGACAATCTCAATGATCAAAACGGATTGGAAAAGTTGTATACTAGTATCACGAAAGCCTGTCCAAGCATGGGCTTTGCACTGAGTCCTTCGCGTACTGACTGCAAAGCAGCGCGATTGGACGATGTGTCGCAAAGCGATAATGAGGCGCCTGTTTATAACATAACTTAGCTCCAGAAGAGTATGGCAGTAGATACAAGAACATGGCTTAGACCGATATGGGGGGTGGTCGGCCGGTCCGACACGAATGCATGATTGGGCGGCATGAAGTTCCATTAACGGACCGGCCCAGATTGGCATTCCATATCGGTTGTGGAGGTGCTCAGTCGAACGCGCGCGTTCATTTCAGGAATTAAAGGACTCAGGCTCGGCGACTGGAAGCGACCTTATCAGAGGAATATGCACGGTACGTGCGTACGAGGACGTGCCGAAAACGTGCACGAAGGTTTACTCACTCTTCGTACGTAACCTTGGACGTTAAACCCTCTGATTCAGATTCTGCAACCAAAACAATACTTCAGGAACGACCGAAAGACGTAATGAACAGCAGCAAGAATCTTGGAAAAACAAGGCTTCAGGAACGCGTCAATCTGCGTACGTCGCCCTAGATCGTAGTATTCTTCAAACGCCTGCAAACGCATTCCTCTCCTAGCTGGGAAAGAATATCAGTACCCCGATCCCTCCGAAAAGATCTGCATGACGTGTCACCATCATTGGCAACTCCCAAGACTGTTGATCAAACGAAAGCGGCCTTGAACGTCGCTGCAGAACTCGTGCTGACGTCAGGTCTTCGGGCAACGGACGGCACGCGTAAATATATCAGCGGCACTTGGTCGGCTTGCTGATGTCACTGCGGAGGCCTCCGTGCACGCCCGTTGTGGCGAGAGTTCTTGATGCGACAAACTTGTAAACGACGAGGCCATCAACGAAAGAGGCGAGCTTGGTCTGCCCGCAGCGGCGATCCGAGAATGGCGCAGTCGAAGTCAATCCGAGGACAAGAACGCCGCAGAAGAGAGCTCGCTTCTACACTTTAGAACAACGGTGGACGGAATGCTTGCGTGAATCTCGAAAAATGTTAAACGCTGTTCCAGAAGGCTGATCCAACAGATCCCACCGACCCATTAACTTGGTCGCAGGTTTGCAGTGAGGTCTGATCGAAAGGGCACTTTAATACGGCCCCTACCACCCATAATCTTAATTCGTTTCATCACTTCTCAACGTTACTTCTTTCATTCAGCAAAAATCATTTGAGCTCTTCACGCCGCAAGTAAAGTTGAAGGGCGCCACCCGCTCAGGAGGTTTCTACCGGAGGCCGTTGCTCGGCTGCGGAGATGGCGCTCACGTCATCGTCCCTTGTGTTCGTCTGCATCATCATGCTGGCTGCGCCTAACGCCAAGGTGAGAAGGAGCTGACGCGTAGAAAGTTCAGCTCTTTTGGGAAGTCCCGACCATTCTTTTCCAGGAAGATCCTTCTCGTCGATCAGCCAGGCTTGAAGTCTCCCGCATCAACCTTGACCTCTCAATTCTGCGCTTGCTTGCTCTCTGAGAAGTGGGTGTTCAGAATTGTCCTGAATGAAAGAGACACGTTTTCTCTCCCATGCTAGGTGTTCACGTCCGCTCCTGGGCAAGACTTCCGCTCAAGTGGGCGGAATAACCGTGGCGGAATGGTCACCATGCCGCAGCGCCAGTTGCTGCAGACCGGTGAGTCGACTGTGGTCTCACCTGACTGTGCAATCCAGATGAAGGCAAGACCGAACTGCGCACTTTCAGTTAGCAAGTGAGGTCAGTGTTCAACGCCGACTTCAATCTCAGTGGTCTCGATCTTTGATCTCCAGAGTTTGTTTCAACTGATCTTCGATACGGCATTTCAGTACCATTGTTTCCCCGGTGCAAGTAATATGTATGTTGAAGCTTCTCTGCTCGTTCGCTACCAATTAAGCTGATGCTTCCAAGCACTAAACACTTGGGCGGAAGCTTACACAGGGAGATATTGACAGTTTGTCCAGACACTAGCCCTGGTTAGTCATTGATCTGTTATAAGCCCTTGAAGAAGTCCAGTTCAGTGCCCGGACTGGACGTTACAGCGTCCCAAATTCAGGAAGTGGTTCATTTTGACACCGGTTGTGAAGGCTTCCTTTACTTCAGCGGACACCCGTGTCCGCTTATACCCAGGTTAAGGTCACATTAGTCTGCTCCACGCCCCGTAATCTGAAACATGACGACGGCGGAGAGTCCTTAATCAAGTGAACTAATCGGGGCCTTCTGTCATTTATTTTCCGTATTTCGATTTACTGGGGCCGTCTGTCATTCCTTTCGCATATCGCAGAACCCGTCCGCCAGATCCGGAAAGGGGTGCTTGCCGGAGGTTGACGTCCACGTTTTTGTCATTCGCTTTTTTCAGCTGGTGGGATAACATCCACATGCCCTGTCATCGACTTGAGCGAGAATTCCTTAGGGCAAGTGGGGTGTACTTACATTCTTGCGGATGCTTCCAATGGAGCGATTGGAGCGCTCCTGACTTGTTACTACGGTACAAACGGGTACCTCATGAATTCTACGATCGAGGTTCGACCACCACTGGGAACGTCCGGGGCTCAAAATACAGCTATGAGCATAACCTCCTCCTCGTGCCCAAGTAAGCAAAAGAATTAACATTTACCTTGACGTTACCTGTTTACCTCTTTGTCAACTTATCGCTCATCTCGAACGTGGACTCGAAGACTGAGTTCGCCGATCAGAAGTTACAGCTTTTAAGAGGGGCAGTTTCGAGGATGTGTTAAGTCGAAGGAACCGAAGTATCTGGATGCCCTTTTGTAGTTTTGCTGCAGCTCCAATAGTGCGCATCTAGTCCCCTCGGCGCCCTTAATTGCTAACGTGCACGATGACGTCCGAAAACCTTCTAACCGTCCAAAATTTGACTGTGTACCAGATTGAAGTTGCTCTTTTGTACCCTATCTTTCTGAAAGCCGCAAGGATATATCGACAGCCTTTCAATGTACCTTCGACCCTCCCAAATTTGTGAGATTTCTCGCTTGACTATATCGAACTCCAGTGTCATGGCATGCATATCCCTGGCATATCCTGAACCATTGCAAGGCAAGTGCATCATGTACAATCTCAAGATTGTCTAACAACCCTGGATAATGAAAGAGCACGGCGCGTTCCGCACCCTTTTCCTCCCTGGCCTCCGACGCTGATCCCGACTTTCTCTGGCTCTGGAGAGTCTGTGTTCCAGATGCTTGTCTTTCTAATTGAAGCGTGGCTGCGTACCTCCTCGTTGCAGGACAAACGCAGGCTCAGAACTTGTGCCCCCTCCCAACGTTCCTCGGAGATTTGATTGGCTTTCTGCAAATGAACATTCCCGGCGCCACGTCCATCAGATATCAGTCCTTCGGCTTCGTGTGCTTCCACAACGATCAGTCGGGAAGGACCCGAGGGATTTGCTCTTACAACCAAGACGGCTCTCTTGCATCTTCCTATCCAACCGGCCCCGTCGTACAGCGGGTGTGCTGGTAAGCGATAGTTACCATCTGGGTGAAACGCTTCAGCTATGCATGCGGATGGAGTGTCCTTGAACATGAGGGTAATGTTCGAAGGTTCACCGAAATCTGTCGGTGTCTTCTTTGCTGCTGACGTACATCTTGAGAATCCGTTTTAATGCCGCCTGATTGTTAGTCTCTTGTAAGAAGACGGATACCTGAGTAACTAGGAGGGGCACCTTCACGTACCAACAGGTAACCGACCATTTTCCCCTGTGAAAAGTTCCAGAGAGCATTCAAGCCTAAAGTGGCCTAAAGTTCAGTACCTAAAGTGCGGCAAGTATCGGTTCGCGGAAAGTGGCACAGAAAAGTGAAAAGACCATGCTCACTGGAAAAAGCACTTAAAGCAATATGCGGTAACCTATTGACCTGTCAGCTGGCCGAGCAAAAGGGCGGAAGCGATTGAGTGAACCGCACTAAGGTTAGTGTCAACTTATGGGCGCTGGTTTGAAGAACAGATTTCTTTTCACATAGTCAACTCTACGTTTCTGCAAGAGAGGGGGAAGTACAGGGGTAAAAGACTGTCGACAACTCAAAGTGGGCCATGGGACGTCTCTTTCTCCGCATCCAACGCTACCCTCTTCTTTATACTAATGGTTACACTGTCGAACTTGTGCAGCAAATGCTGCTATGCCGGGTCGACCGACTCTTACTCCACCAGGTGAGCCAACCATATTCAGACCGCTTCACTCAAAACTCACGGTCCTAATGCAGGGTTCAGGTCGTTAACTTCTACATTTCAGAGAGCTAGACGTTCATGGCAACTACGACATTATTTTACCTAAGGACCCCATGACGCAGCCTGGTTATCACAAATGAACCTTTGCGGAAGACAGGGTTAGATTTA